ATTTGGAGCTTGCTCTTGTATTTCTCTCTTCACCACATCTTGCAACACCTTCCATGCATCTCAAAAGTTTGTAAAAGTTTTTCAAAGTTAAATCTCATAATGAGGTCCATATCAGGGAACACTTAAGTGCTTACATAATATTGCTATTATTCTTATATGGTTTACTTGATCTTCTCTTATTGCTAATCTCAAATATTCAAAAAATTTGATAAAGGCCTCAAATACTGTGAAAGAAGGTATACAACCTGGAGCCTATCAGAAGCAGAATACTTCATTTCTGCTAACTTGGAATCTCTTGATGCCTTCCTTGTTTTCCTTTTATTTTTTTCATTTTCCTCCAAAGCCTCTCAGGAAAAGAGCAAACCCTTTAACTAGCATTGCTGGTAGCTGGAGCTGTGAGAAATCAGTGGCAAGGCTGTTTAAAATGTTGTGGCTGTTTGAGGAGAGGTGGCAGTGAGCTGTCACCATTCCAGGAGTGCTTAGGAGTTCTGTGAGCAGAAGTCTTGTTCTGCATCAACCACCCCTCTCCTGGAAGTGTTTGAAGGGCTGGAAGGACCCAAAGCCAGTTCTCTCCAGGGAACCTACAAGGATGGAGCTGGGGGAAGGTGTTGCCTTGTGACAGCAAGAAGTGTGTTGGAGGCTGCAGGATGGAGGAGCATCCAGCTGACCCCTCTGCCAGTATGGTGTAATGGAATCCTTGGTCTGATTTTTATACTGGGAGTGAGTCATACCCCTGTGACTTCCCTTCTGTGGCTCTTCTGTGAATTGTTTACCCTGCAAGGACAGGATGTGTTGCCTCCAAATCCCTTCTACTTCTTCAGAAGTTTGCCATAAGAGGAGGCAGCTTGTTGGCCATGTCAGCAGATATCTTCTGCAGCAGCAGGGCCTCACCATGAAGCAGTTTCTCCCAAAACCAGTCTGGACCCCTTGTAGTGTTTATCAAAGAGTCCCAAAGCAGATGTGTGTTCTGCATTGTGCAGTAGAGGCTGTGGTAGCAGTACCCAGTGACAGCTGAGGTGCTCTGGGGAGGGATGGCCTGAAATCAGAATTTCCTCTTCACAGGTTGAAGTTGTATGGCAGAGGAAAGAAACGCTTTTGTGTGTTTCCATCTCAAATGAGGTGAAACGTGGGATTGGCCAAATTTGTGCTGGGAGAGCCATTCAGTGTGAAATCCTACTTCAAAAGACCTGAAACAGAAGTGGATTTTGCTCTTGAGCTTGAAAAGATCCAGGGATCCATAGCAGAGGCAGGTGTCCAAGGAGGGCAGAAGTGGTGGGAGAGCCCTGTGCTGGCCAGCCTGGTGACACCACCCAGGGCTGCACCACAGTTGTGTTCCTGGCACTCTGGTCCATTCCTGGGATATTCTGAATAGGCACTTTTCTTCATAAGAAGGGAAAAAATTGATAATCGAGTCCATATGTGGCATTCTCTGGGTTATTTCCTCAGTGCTCTTATCACTGGTTATGGTCCATGCTGAGGGTGTTTGGTTATAAAATCTCAGAATCACACGATCAGTTTGGTTGGAGAAGACCTCTGAGATCAGCGAGCCCAGCCCATGACCCGACACCCCCTTGTCACCCAGACCATGGCACTGGGGACCCTGTCCAGTCCTTAAACACCTCCCAGGGCAGCCCATTCCAGTGTCCAGCCACCCTTTCTGTGTAGAAATTCCTGTGAATGTCCAACCTGAACCTCCCCTAGCACAGCTTAAGGCTGTGTCTTCTTGTCCTCTCAAAAATAACGCGGGAGAAGAGGCCAAACCCCACCTGGTTACAATCTCCTTTCAGGCAGTGATAAGATTACCCTTGAGCCTCCTTTTCTCCAGGCAAAACAACCCCAGCTCCCTCAGCCACTCCTCATCAGACTTGTGCTCCAAACCCTTCATCAGCCTCATAACCTTCTCTGGACATGCTCCAGCACTTCAACATCCTTCCTGAACTGAGGGGCCCTGAACCAGACACAGCAACCCAGAAGTGGCCTCACCGGTGCCAAGTCCAGGGGAAGAATCACTTCCCTAGTTGCGTTGGCCACATTATTTAATGAAAACTTCTCCCCACGCCAGGCACACAGGAGGCATTAGTTAGAGAAAGGTATTTATTCAGATCCCGCTGACACAAGCTCATTGGTAGAAGCGTGAGTGGAGCAGCTATTGGGGAATGTCCAAATTCCTGGTGGGAGAATGTCCAAGGGCTGGGTGGCAGGCTGCCCTCAGCACATGGCTCTTGGTCCCTGGTGGGTCTCCAGCAGCCTGCACTGGAGGCAGCTCCCCTTGCCAGGGGAATGCTGCACACGCAGCATGGTGGCAATGTCCAGGGGCAGCTCTGGTCCAGGTTACAACCACATACAGCCACAGGCATGGAGTCCCTCTGTGCTCCCACAGCAGCTCCTGCTGGGCCTGCAGCCCTGGGGGACACAGTAGGTTTTAGTCTCAGGCAGGCTGGAAGCACAGGAGAGATGGAGCTGGTGTTACCCACTCCAGTCCCAAGGGGTGTCCCCTCCCAGGAGCACCCCTGCCACCCAGGTGAGTTTTGAACAGGGTGCTGCGAGGGTCTCGCTCAGCCCCACCTCACAGATTGGCATCATATGCTGAGTTGGTGAAGGTGCCTGGCGCTCCCAGGTCACTGGAAGGCAAACACAAGGATGTCACCTTGGGGAGTGCAGGAGTGTGTGAAGGCCAGGAGTTAGCACAGCCCTGTCGGCCCCAGAGATGCTCCCGTAAAAAACCAGCCTCACACTGGCAGATCTGGTTGTCAGCAGGGTGAACATAGGGCTGAGACAGTCACAGGGCAGAGCCCCCCTCCTGCAGAGCACAGCTCTCACCTGGTGTGTTTCAGGAGTTTCCTCTTCTCCTCTGATAGCAGCATTGAAATGGCCATGGGCGTAAAGCACATAGAAAAGAAATAACCAGATCTGTTTAGTGAAGGTCACAAGAAGCTGCAGCAGCAGCATCTGAAATTGAGCGGAGTTGAGCCGGCATGAGGTGGGGCTGCCTTAACAAGGATTTGCTGCCTTCTTCAGAGTGATGATGTTTATCTGGCTCTGCCCTCCAAACCTGGCTGCTGACATTTTTAGCTGGACCAACTGCCAAGGACCCAAACAACTCAGCAAATAAAACATGTGAATGGAGGCAGTCACACTGCTAAACACTTCTGATCACCCCAGCCTCCCCTGGGACTGTCACCACCTTGCCTGAGAGCCCCTGGCCAAAGCTAGAGTCGGTTGCAGGAAGCATTTCTGTACCTCTGTCACTGAGCCTCTTGGCAAGGAGGGCAATGAGTCCCCCAGAGAGCACAAGACCAGCTACTGCCAGGGCTGAGCCGCTGCTGTAAGCCAGGACTTGCTTTAGGAAGGCACCATCCTCTGAAACAAAGCCACAGAGCCACGTGTTGGAAAGTTGTCAGCACTTTGCAGCCCCTGGGAAGTCTCCCTCCACACATTCAAGATGTCCTTGGAGGAAAGCTGGAACTTCCACATGCTAGAGGAGCCGGGGTACCTGCACAGACAGGGGGATCCCTGGTCCAGTTCCCTGTGGCCTCACACTGGAGCACCTCTGCACCCATCCGAACAAACCCCTCCTCACAGGAAAAGATGCACGTGGAGTTGTAGGTGAAGTTCCCATGCACATGAGAGCAGCTCAGGTGGCCTCTGCTGGGGGGGGACAGCACTGGGCAGCTGATGGCTGCAGACAAAGCACAGCAGGAGCATCAGGAGGACAGGACTGATGGCAATGAGATGGGGTTATGTGGGCTGGCAAGCCAGGGCATAAACTGCCATAGGCCAGGGTGCTGGGGAGAGCACTCTGCTACAACAGATCCGTGTGAGATCACAGGATTTACCTTTGCAATGTGTGGAGTCCCCAGTCCAGGTCCCCAGGGCTGTGCACTCACGGCTCTCCAGCCCCTTCAGCACAAACCCCTTCTGGCAGGAGAAGGCACACCTGGAGCCAAAGGTGAAGTCCCCATGGACGTGGGAGCAGGCAGCCTGGCCCATCTTGGGGGTGGTCAGTGCTGAGCATTTGATGGCTGCAAGAGTAAAGAGAGAGGGACAGCTCAGAGAGGAGCCTGGGAGACCACACTGCTGGCACCAAGGGGCTGGGGACACATCATAGTGTCACCCCACACCCTGAGCTGTGGCAGCAGCTCTACCTTCACATCTTGTTGCATCCCCTGTCCAGGTCCCCGTGGCTGTGCACTTGCGACTGTCTGACCCCATCAGCACAAACCCCTTCTGGCAGGAGAANAAATGAAAGCTCGAGCCATGGATCCAGAAATGAAAGCTCAAGCCATGGATCCAGAAATGAAAGCTCGAGCTGCTTCAAAAACCAATAACAGGGTAAATGTAGCAAAGAAGAATTATCACGGGGCAGGAAGTCACTTTCCTCTTGTTAACATCGCCAACTTTTCTAACCTCTGACACAGCTCTCAATTTTTAGCAGATTTCACAACATTCTATTTAATGCTGTTTTAGTGAGCTAAAAAGCCATAAATCCACGCTCCCTCCATCCTGTGGAAGAGTTTCATGTGGGTAAAAAATGCTTATATCACTTCCCCCAAGCTTTCCAGCTTCCTTCAAGCCATCCTAACTGATTCTACTGGATCTTCCTTCAGTTATGACAAGAACAGCACTGTAATCACCTTATGCACCACCTGACATTGCAAGCAGAGCAGAGCAAAGCATCCCTACAGATCCTTCCAAATCAGCAGTTTTATCTCCACAGCTGCCAGTGTTCAGCACAGACTCTGTCTTCCAATCCAAATAATGGAATTATATAATCCAGCCCTCCATTTTACACAATGCCCATGTGAGTGCTGTTTCTCACAGGACAGGATGAGAGGAGTAAGGCCATCTTCTCAGCCTAAAGCTTTTCCAGCAATGCATGTAGGATCCTTTTTTCTCCTATTCCTCCTCTTTCATACACCAAACCTAACTCCATTCTACCAGCCAACCCAAACAGACAATGCTACCACCAAGACCTGGCTCAGCCAAGACAATTCACCTACCTTTAGGAGGTGCTGGCTGGATGTTGACAACTGGCTGATTCTTTGGCAGTGGCACAAGTGTGGGAAGAGTCTGAATAATGATGGTTTTAGCTGGGATGCCAATGTTAGCCTGAGCTTCAGGCACAGCAGGCAAAAGGGGTTTGGGTTGTATCAAAGGCCTGGACACTGTCTGACCACACTTCTTCAGGCTCCTTGCAGAATTATTTGCTAGAAAAGGAAAAAGAGTCAGAACTGGACCAAGAGGCATAAAATACATAATTCAAGCTATAATGAAGTAGCTTTTAATGCGGGGTTTTTTATCCATCTATAATATCTGTTGAAAATAAACACACCTGACCAAATACTTCAGTAATAAATGACAGGACTCTAGTGCCTGTTAGTTAATAGTATTAATATGCATGCAAGACAACACACATATTATCTATAGCATGAAAGTAACTCTTTCTCTCATACCAGATCGAGAAGAAATGCTCACAGCAGGCTTCTTCCCTCCATCTCCTTCAGGGGATGCAGGGCTTCTGCAGTTCTTGCTGTAGAGAGAGATGGGAGACATCTGGGAGCTACAGCTGAAGTCCACATCATCCTGCAGACAGGAGGCACAGGAGATTAACACTTCAGAAAGTCAGAGCAGTATCTACCAGCACTTGAGAGTCTATCTGCTTCTCATCACATCTGTGTTGCTGCTGCAGCCAACAGGACAAAGGTTTTACTCTGCAATTTGATTCTGCCTAATGTCAAGTACCACTAAAAAAAACCCAACAAGTACTTCTCCCCATCAGCAGAGCAATGGGAGGCAGAGGCCAACCCTGCTAGACCCAGAAGCCTTTAGAAGGCATTTTGTTTGGCAACAAGACTACTGAACATAGATGAGGAAAGAGTGCTGAACATGTTCTTATTCAAACGGGTCACAGAGAATAGATAAGAAAACACCACTGACAGGTTTTTGCCGGGGTTGGGAAAATAAGCTGTTTCCTCTTATGCCATGAATTTGGCATAAGAGGAGTAAATCCCAGGGCTTTTGGTTTGTCAGAGCTGTTGCTGTGTGTGTTACATGGGGGGTTTGCATACAGGCACATTCTGCACTGGAGAGTCCACAGCCGGTGGTGAAGGGACCGAACAGCTGGAAGCGGCTGGCGATAAAGGCTCTGTCTTCACGTTTGCATCTGCAAGAGGCACGTAAAGACATTTCACTGCACAAGTTTGTAGCAATGGGAAAAGTAAAGAACACACTGTCCCACACCAGATATTTAATTCCCAAAGCAAGGCACAGCAGAAAATGTAAGGAGATTAAAGGTATTGAACAACTTGGCCCGTAGGGCAGCCCTTGACAGCTGTGTCCATCTCCTAGAGAAACACAGCCTATCTCTCATCACAGAGCAAAGGCTGCAGGGCATCAAACAGTTCCACATGAGTTTTAAGAGCTCACCCTTGTGGGGCAGGAGGGGAAGAGCAACATCTGCAAAATATAGGAGGTTAATTACCTGCATAAGGATGGCCTGTAATATTCCAAAGGTCCGAGTCCCAAGACATCAAATCCAAATCAAAATGAAAGTTATAAAGATCATTTTCCTGAAATGACAGTTCAGAAAAAGAGACAAGACAAAAACAAAGATGCATTGATACCATCAGCAATTATGTTCACATTCCTACAGCTCCAGAAAAAAAAAAAAAAAACAGCATAACTATCAATCACTTCAGGTGCCTTAAGGTATGCAGAGAATGAAGTCCTTAAGGGAGAAATTCTCAACTGAAACACACAAAACAAGGCTTCTTTTTAACTTACACTAGTAGGAAGGGGCAGGTCAGTTTAAGATCATCACTAATTTTCATACTCTTCTTTGTAATTTTTATAGCAAAAGTTTTAAGTTCATTGAACCATCTCACAAAAAACAAAAGTCTTAGGCACCTGGTGCCATCCTCTCCTTCATCTGCCTTGAAAAATTTATTTCATGCTTTTCCACCACTACATCTCAAAGCACTTTACAAACAAAAGCAGCACCAGAGGCAGTTTACCAGCAGGAAAACAGACACAAGACTGATTAGCCCAAGACCAGATTAATGGTATGTGCTAGGTCTCCCTATAATTGAATACACCAATGTCAACAGCTAAAGCCAAGGACACCAGTTTCCTTTTCCAACAAAAATCAAAACAATCAGGCTAAAATCACTCCACACATATTATTTATCATATGCCCTTTAAAACAACAATTGGGGTTTTTCTCCATTTATTATGTTTGTGCATATGTAAGTCTCAGTTTCCTATGCAAATGTGGCCCTTTATAAGCACTTGCATGAAAAATACAGACATGACATACCCAGCTTATACAAATATATAAGAAAGATTTTCCTGAAAACCATGCTGCAAATATACCTTCCCTTATACTCTCAACTTGCCCTGTGAAGGGAGGCTCAAAAAGCCAGCAAACTGCATAGATAATGGTATTTTTAAGTTAGAATGAAAAGAAAGCTTATCAGAGCACATTTAAAGGAAGAATGACCAAAGAATCGCAATGTGAGCTGTGCATTAAGAGCCCTCACCCAGGCACGTAATGCTGACCTGCTGATGGGGAATACCTTTCCCTGTGCAATCAGTCTGTTCCCACATTTTCTCCAGTGACCAGTTCTACACGGGTAGGAATGCTCTTAGAACCTGGGTTCACATGAGATGATAACCCAGGCTTGTGCTGGAGGTGGACTGGGACACAGAGAGCAGAGACATGGCAGGGAAGAACATGGAAAGGACAATCCACGAGGTGAATGCCCCGGGAGAGAAAAAGTAGTATGGACAAGTGGGCAGTGAAAACGACAGGGATTAATGCAGAAGGCTGCAAGCATAAGTTCTTTTGAGAAAATCCTACATTAAAGAAAAAACCAATAAGTAACCTAATAGGCAAAGGGATAAAGAACAGCCCGGGTGGCTGTAGGTGTAACATACCCACCGTTCTCCCAGGCAGCCCCGAGCCAGCGCCCCCCCA